CCTTACCTGAGATTCCAACCATTCCTCCCAGAGAACTATGTTCTAATTATACATAGCCTGGAGGTGTGGTTTAAGGTCATACGAGAATATTTAAACTGGGGAAAACTAACTGAAGAACGTCAGTCTCCGTGGGCACAGACAAGCCACCATCCATGCTGGATGAAGCCTTTTCATGGAAGCTGGATCGGGATGACCCCACGCTGTCGGTAAGCTGGATAAACTCAGCCGTTCTACCTTGGTGGAATCACGCTTTGGTTCGTCATTGAGACTCTCTTTTTAGATTCATTTTTATTATTTCATGTGTCTAAGTGTTTTGCATATATGTATAACCATGCAACAAATACCTGCGTGAAGAGATTGTAAGCCCTCATATGGGTGCTGGGAATCGAACCTGGGTCCTTTGCAAGAACACAAGTTCTTGCTCTTAACCACTGGGTCTACTTTGCAGTCCTGTAATTTGGTATGTTATGTGGAGTGAGCAGATGTTGTTCCTGTCTCCCTAGGGAAAGGACTCTTTTCATTTTGCTTTGTATGAGACAGGATCTCACTATGTAGTCAAGTGAGCCTGGAGCTCACTAGGTAGACCAGGCTGGTCTTGAACTCATAGAGATCTGCCTGCTTCTGCCTCCCAAGTGCTGGGATTTAAAGGTGTGAACCACTATGCCTGGCATGAATTCTTGCAGTGAAGTGGAAACAGGATCGCCACTGTTAGCCAAGACTGTGACAACCTGAAATTTTCTTTCATTCTGGTAAACTGATTTCACAGTAGTTTCCCTTAATCACAACAATCAGCACGAATCCAGGCTTATTTTTCTAGAATCTTCCTAGCACCCTGCAACGTCTGAGGATAACTGGTCATGAGAGATGTTTGTGATCACCTGAAATTCTGTCTTGTTTGTGAAACAGAGTCTTGCTGTGTATCCTGGGAGATGGAGCTCACTAGGTAGATGAAGTTGCTTTGTAACACTCAGAGATCTACCTGCTTCTGCCACCCAAGTGCAGGGGTTAAAGGTGTGTGCCACCGCGCCCACTCGGCGTCCTGTTCACGTCCTACTCCACTCTGTAGTCACTCCTGGCATTGGATTTGACTCCCACCCCCCATCCCTTCCTTCCACCCCTACCCACCCCCGCACTCCCCCTCTCCGCTCCCAGAACTACCTCTGCTCTGTAAGCAGGGAGCGCTCTGGTTTTCCCATCTACAGACCTCTACTGTAGAATCTGCTTTCCTTGTCTGTCCATCCTTCCTCTGACCACTGGGAGCTCTTGTGGAGGATTAGAGTGAGGGCATCTGATCTAAGAAAGAAACGTCAAAGCTTAGAGACTGACTCTCTCACCCCAGAGAGCTTGCCCATTCTTGGGCTGACATTTTGCTCCTACCTGCTACGTGGGTTGAAAAACACTCAAAATCGGATTGCATTCAGCTCTAGTTGCCCAGAGACTGCCTCTTTCTCTACCAGGTCGCAAAAATCGAGCTGAGCTTGGACTCCGACTTGGCAAGCTTGTGGGATTGATTACGACTCCCTGGGACCAGGGGTTGTTTCTTCCATCTATTGCCCTCAGTGGATCCGAGATAACCTGTGAATAGCTGGTAAGGTTACATCGTATTTCTTGGATATGGGGGTGTTGCTTGTTCAGTTTTGTCAGGATTGGCTGAACCCCAACAGGAATTCCTTCCCTCTCTTTAGGGAGAAGGACATACCTAGGAAATCTAAGCAGCTCAGACCAGTGCCCCATAGCCTGTTTGGGCATTCCATTTCCCATTCCTTCCTGTCACTCCTGGTTGTTCAATCCCTCTCTGGGGCGGCGGTATTCTAGAGAGTTCTGTGCCTCTTCTCACTCTTTCACAAAGCCCCCACAGAGAAGCTCTTTTCTGCTACTGTGTCACCCAGACTCAACCCCTTCTGAGGACTCTGTCTCCTACACTTACACAGCCGTCCTTCATCCTCCCACCCAGCATTCATCCTCAGGTGGATTTCTACCCACCATTGCTACCCACCCTACTCCTAGTTTAAAAAGGAACTCCCTGCCCTGGTCAGCAAGGTCAGCATCCACTCACTCCCAAGGTGTCCAAGGAGCCTATGATGACCAGACTCCCAGAAGCCTCCACTTACAGTGCACTAACTCCCCTCAGCATCCCCATCCGGGCAGTCCAAATGTCAGATGTCTCCTACTCCCCAGTCCAAGACTTATGCCTAATTAGTCCTAATTAGTAACGCCTGTCCATCCAGTGGTCCCCAAAACTTTCACGATTCTATCCTACCTGTCCTCTACCCAATTCTCATTTCTCAGTTCTTTTTTTTTCTTTTAGATTTATTTATTTATTTTCTGCATGTGAGTACACTGTCACTGTCTTCAGACACACCCCAAATGAACATCAGATCCCATTACAGATGGTTGTGAGCCACCATGTGGTTGCTGGGAATTGAACTCACGACCTCTGGAAGGAGTCAGTGCTTTTAACTGCTGAGCCTTCTCTCCAGTCCTCAACCCTTAATCTCAAAGATGCTTTCTCTACTGTTCTTCTTGGCTATTATTATTATTATTATTATTATTATCATTACTTTAAAAGTATTTATTTTATTTTATGTGTGTTAGTGTCTTGCCTGCATGTATGTGTGTGTACTACCTGTATACCTGGTACCCAAGGAGGTCAGAAGTCAGCATAGAATCCCCTGGAACTAGAGTTACAGATGGTTGTGAGCCACCAAATGGGTGCTGAAAACTGAACCAGGGTTCTCTGCAAGAGAAGCAAATACTCTTAGCATCTCTCTGGTGCTATCTTGGCCCTTCTTGTCAAGATCTTTGCATATTTACCTGGGAAGCCCCTGACACCCAAATGTCAGTTAACCCAGGGATTTTGAGACAGTCCTCATTGTTTTTTTTAGGGAGGATCTTGTCCTGGCCTATTGAGTCTCAACGTCACTCTAGTCCTTCAGATGACCAGTCCCTACAACACATCTACTCTCTTCACTCTTCTGGCCGGCCAGGGATCCTGGGTATCCCCCTCTAAGGCTCTTCCCAAGTCATGTATCTTGGCCCCGTTCTAACCTTCTCTTCCCATGGCATACCTCAAAGTTGCAAATCTGTAACCAAGGGATTCCATCCCCCTTGAAGCTGAATGACAATCTCTCTCCTTTCTGGGCCCAGCAGGTTACTTTGTATCTCCAACTTCAGAGTCTTAGTAAATCTCTTTGCCAGGGATGCTTGTGGTCCTCTCACCGAGCCTCTGAACCCTCCCAACCTACCTAAGCTCATCCTCTATGCTCAGAGGCCCCCATTACTGCCCCAGGGCATCCAGCCCTCTCCAAACCTCTCATCCTTTCTCTACCATCTTTCATAACTTAGCCAATGTTACAAAGACTGTCCATGAAGGCAGGTAGACTTATAGCCCAGGGTTGGCCTTCTTGCTTGAAAACCCTTGGGGTACCTCCCTTTAACATAGGAGCCCCCAAATTCACCCTTTACCAATTTTTGACTGTCTCTACCTCCCGAAATCTCCTTGAGCTCATAAGTGATTCAATTCCCCGCTCTCTCCCTCCCTCCCCCCCCCCCCCCCCCCCTCTCTCTCCATCTTTCCCTCTTGCATTTAACAGACACACTATTTATTATTTAGTTTCTTGTGATGGTTTTCACTGTGTAGCCCTGTTTGTCCCAGAACTTGCAGGCTGGCCTCCAATTCAGAAATCCTCCTACCTCTGCTTCCTGAGTACTGGGACAAAAACATGTGTCACTACTGCCTGGCTTGTTATACGGTTTATACAAAATCTTTTAATCACTTTTCAATGCTGTAAAACTTTCATTAAAGATATATATATATATATAATTTACCTCAGTGTTTGGCCGGCATGTATGCTTGTGTCATGGGCATGAAGTAGCCATGGGCCCCAGAAGAGGGCGCTAGATTCCCTGGAACTAGACATACAGACAATTGTATGTCACCACGTGGATGCTGGGAATCAAATCTGGGTCCTCTGGAAGAGCAGTCAGTACTCTTACTACTGAGCCATCCTTCCAGCCCCAGCTGTAAAGTTCTTAATCCATCCATTTTCCTTCCTATAGACTTTAGCCTTTAGCCTTACAGAGGACCCCCGATCTTTGATTGATCCCCCTGACTTCTTGCTACATCCTTTTTTTTTTTTTTTTTTTTTTGGTTTTTCAAGACAGGGTTTCTCTGTGTAGTTCTGGCTGTCCTGGAACTCACTCTGTAGACCAGGCTGGCCTCGAACTCAGAAATCCGCCTGTCTCTGCCTCCCAAGTGCTGGGATTAAAGGCGTGCGCCACCATCGCCCGGCTCTTGCTACATTCTTATAGTCATCTGACAGATGTTCCTGTCGCTGAGACCCTCTAACTGGTATATTGATAAGGGCTTTTTAAGGCTATGCCAATTGTCACAGGTGATACCACCTTAGAGGTCCAATTTCTCCTCCCCCCACACCCATCACAACTATCACCACAAAGCAGGCCGAGTCCATGGCTCTCACCAGACCCTGGCACTACCATACCAAAAGGTTGGTGCCTACACTGACTCCAAATACGCACACCACATCCTCCATTCTCACGCCTGCCTTTAGCAAGAGAGGGGATCTCTCACTTCACGAGAGACACCTATACTTAATTGCAAATTAATCTACAAACTCAGTCAGGTCATTAGCTTGCCTCTGGCAGCTGTAGCTCTCCACCTCTGCCATCGGTGGCTAACTGCCAAAGTAGCCCAAGGCTACACCTGGGGGGCATGATAGAAGCCAAGGAAAATAATCTGTTGAGTGGCTACATCTAAGCTCAAAAGTGGCTTGCAAGACCCTAACTCTAAGACTAACCCTCTGACGACCTTCCCTCTCTGTGTTTCTACTCTCATAGGTCCAACCTCCACAAGTATAACCTGCACAACCAGTGGCCTCCCTGACTTTTTCCATCACTAAACGACAGACAACCTTGGACTTCAGAACTCTCAGGACGGCGTCTCTGTGCTTCCCATCACCGTGGGCCACTCCTGAAGAGCCATGGTTCGTCCTTGGGTTTTCTGTCTCTTCCTGTTCCCCTGTTCCTTTGCCTACTCGGACAGCTGGATGCCCCTGGTAAACCAGACTCAACGCCTCCTCCAGGAGGCTAACTCTTCCTTCTCTTCCAACTGCTGGGTCTGCTTATCCATCCAAACCCAGCGCTCTCTAGCCACGCCAGCCCCACTAAGGACTTGGACAGAGACACCCATGAAACTTCGTATCATGTATTCCGCCCGGACCCTCTCCGGCCCTTACCCTATTACTGACCTCGAGAGACGCCTCCAGAATTTCCAGCCATTGACGCCTCACTACTCTTTCGTCAACCCTGACCGACGGGCCATTGCTTTCCTTCAGATCACCAGTGTGACAGGCATACTCCCCATCCTCTCCCGCCTCACCTCGGTGAGATACCCCAATGACCACTTCTATGAATCTACCCAGCGCCCCATATGGGGATCACTCTCCACTCAGACAATCCTCACCTCCCAGGCCCCTCTCTGCATATCCCGTTTCTTCAAGAATTCAAAACATGCCACCTTCGTGGGCAATCTCCCTGCCTCTCTTTGCAATCACACCTTTCAGCTCTCTCCCTCCGCCAACCACCAGTCCATAGATCTGTCCAGCAGCTATGCATTTGCCCCACTAATGGCCATGCCAGGCTCTAAATGGAGAAATCCCTTACGCTTTTCAGGACCCCCTACTCTAAACTCGGGGAAGCCTTACCACTCCTGCTCAGTAGACGACATCCACTGCCACACCTACCCCACCACCCCCTGGAGGTACTGTCCTTCCTCCCCGACTAGCACCTGCTATAATCTCACCCTATTCGAACCCAACAATTCGAGTCACCCTACTACCCTGTCTGTGGACACCACATACTTCAAGATTAAACTCCAGGGACACAAAGACCCCTATCCACTCTTTCAGTACCAGCCCCTCATGGGGGCAGCCCTCTCTGGACAATATTCAATCTGGGAGGATGAGCCCACTGTTAAGGAAAATGAGGATATCACTCCAAATATCTTCTCCCATCTTGTCTCCTTAACATACTCCTTCTGTCTCAACTCCTCGGGCGTTTTCTTCCTCTGTGGAAATTCAACTTATGTCTGTCTCCCGGCCAATTGGTCGGGCGTCTGTACCCTTGTCTTCCAATACCCGGATATTCAACTCCTGCCTAACAACCAAACCATAACAGTCCCGCTTTTGGGTACAGTTCCCTCCTCCGTTCCCGCTTCTCGCCGGAAGCGAGCCCTTCCTCTCCTTCCTCTTCTTGCCGGCCTGGGCATTGCTTCCGCCCTTGGGTTAGGCATCGCCAGTATTACCACCTCAACCATGTATTTCCAACAGCTTTCCAAGGCTCTCTCGGAGAGCCTAGACGAAATAGCCACGTCCATCATCAGCCTCCAAGACCAAATCGACTCACTGGCGGGTGTCGTTCTCCAAAACCGCAGAGCTCTGGACCTCATTGTGGCCGAGAAAGGGGGCACCTGCCTCTTCCTCCAGGAAGAATGCTGCTTCTACATAAACCAGTCCGGAGTAGTCCGGTATGCGGCAAGGAAACTTCGAGAAAGGGCATCGGAACTCGGCCCAAGCTCGAGCTCTTGGACCCAGTGGATGGGGCTGGGACCCTGGCTGCCCTCTTGGTTGACTTCCTTCATGGGACCTATACTCTTTATCCTGGTACTGCTCATTTTCCGATCTTGTCTGCTTAATTGCCTGACTCATTCCGTATCCCGGCGAATGAGTTCTTTCATTCACAACACCACCAAAGGGCACGTGGACAAGCTCCTTCTGCTTCGAGAGTCCCAGTACAAGAGACTTCCCCAAGAGCCCCCGGAGGAGGACGCCGTCTAGCAGGGAGGAGCTACATAAACCATAACCCATCTGTAGAAGTGAACACCGTCAGTGTTAGCTTCAGCCTTTCCACTTGGAAGAACTAATCAAGTTTGCTTAGATGGTAGTAGTTTCCCCCAAACCAGAGTAATCGTTCTGGGCTTGTTTTTCTAGATGCCTGACACCACTTGCCCCCTGATAATGGTTGATCACTGGAGATGTTTATGATCACCTACACACTCAAGACTCTTTGATCACTTCACTTCCGGCAACAGAAACTTTTGAGCCCCAGTCCCTGCAACTTCTTATCTCCCCGAGTCTGTAAGCAGACAGCGAGCTTTCTGACTTCCCCGATCTGGAGACCTCCCTTCCCAAGGTTTTTCTTGCTTTAAACCCATCCTGTAGTAGAAGCTGATTCTGTCCTTGTTTGTCTTTCCCCTCTCGGGCCTTTCAGCCACCACCCTGGGGGCTTCTGAACCAAAGGAAGTTGTCCGGATGCGGATGCTGGCTCCCCAGTTCCAGAGACAAGGCTCGGTCTTGAATGCATTTCCTTTTCTTCTGCTGCAGGCAAATGAGCAAAACAAGAATGTTCTAGAAAGCTAAGTTTACTTAATTTACAAGGAACTCTATTATTTCGAGAGCAGACTATGGTCTTACCTCATGCCATATGACCTTCCTGTTAGGGGGAGACTGTCCTCCATAGGCTCCAATGGTGGAATACTGAGTCTCTCCAGTAGGCGGAGCCATTTCCGGAGGTTTAGGGGGCGTGCCTTGGAGGAGGTGTGCCTCTGGAGGTGAGCTTTGAGAACTTAAAGAGGAAGGCCACTTTAAGTTTACTATCTCTGCCTTGCGCTTATGGCTCAAGATGTGAACCTTCTGCTTCTGCTCTGTCTGCCATTTGCTGCAGGCTTCCCCGCTGTCACACACTCGCCTCTCCAGCGCCAGAAAACAAATAAACCCTCCTGCTATACGTTGCTTTGGTCATGATGTTTTATCACAGTAATCAAAAAGTAATACAGAAGGCAACAGCATGGATATTTTATCCAGCATTCTTTTTTTCCTTTCTTCAATGAAATGTCCAGGCTGGACCTAAACTCACAGTGATGCTCCTGCCTCAGCTTCTTGTACTGGGACCACAGGGATGTACCACTACACTTAGCTCTAGCTTTTATTTTTATTTATTTATTTAGTCAAAGTCACAAACTGGTGACGTTCCATCTGTGTCTGCCACTATGTTTTGGGAGGAAATAGAAGGACCTTAAATGCTCAAAAGAGATGTCCCTTTACAGGACTGGAGAAATAGGTTCATGGTTAAGAGTGTTTGCTTTTCTGAGTTTGGCTCAGAGCAACCAAGACTGGGTAGCTCTCATGACCTGTAACTCGGGCTCCAGGGAATCCTGGCCTCTTGTGACTCAGAGAAAACTACACTCAGGAACGTACATGTACACATAATTAAAAATAAATCTTTCAACAGATGGCCCCTTAGGCTTGGTACTGTTCTTAGGACAGGGCTGGAGGAAGAAGACAGCGTAAGACCCCCTGTCCTCAGGCAAAGAGCTCAGAGACCTTGAGTATGACGATACATGCCTGTCATTCCAGCACTCCGAGATCCGAGGCTGCAGGCTGGAGAGTTTGAGGTCAGCCTGGGCTACATACATGAGACCTTATCTCACAAAGCTGAAACTATGCAGTTTTATTTACAGGGGGACGTCTCTCAGGAAACCCAGAAGGCTGCAAAAAAAGCTCCTAGGACCTCAGAAGCCCAGGTCAGGTCAGCAGAGTAGCCGACAGAACTGTGCGTCCTCATGATGACGTCAGTTTCCCTTCCTTCGTCATCAGTACTAACCAGAGGCATAGAAGCTTGGCTTCCTCCTGGGCTAGAAGAATTCCGGGCCAGCCAAGTCCACGTGTCTGGAAGCAGCCCGGTGGTGGCCAGCTCAGCAGACCTCTCCATGGCAACACCACGCCCACCCGGATGCACAGGGTTCTGCTGTAAGACCAGACTACCTCTGATTCAATAGGAAGAAGCTACCATCTTCATCCAAACAAGAATCTCCACACAAGGACATGACTGTTTCTCATGTCCTTCCAATTTCTATGGAAACGGCTTCTATTTACTCACTTACTTAGAGACAGGGTTTCACTGTCCTGAAACTCATTATGTAGACCAGGCTGGCCCTTGAACTCACAGAGATCCTCCTGCATCTGCCTCCCAAGTGCTGGCTCCCTGTGGCACTACGCTCAGCTTAAAATAGCGATTCAGAGACTGGAAAAATATTCCATCAAAGAACTGGAGGTGACAGTTGGAGAGATGGTTCAGTGATTAGCAGTGCTTACTGCTCTTGGCAGAGTACCTGAGTTCAGTTCCCAGCACCCACAGCAGGAGGATGGACCATTACAATCACCAGTAACTCCACCTCCAGGGGAATTCTAAACCGTCCTTTGGCCTTGGCAGGTGCCCCCATTCAAGTGCACACACATAGTCATAATTAAAATAATATCAACCATGTCAGACATGGTGGTGTGTGCCTTTTACTCCCAGTATTTGGGAGGCAAAGGCAGTCTGATGTCATGAGTTTGAGGCTAACCTGGTGCATATAGTGGGTTTTAGACCAGCCAGGGCTACATAGAGAGACCCTATCTCAAATAAATAAATAAATAAATAAATAAATAAATAAATAAATAAATCAGCTGATGGGGGATGCCTTTAATCCCAGCACTTGGGAGGCAGAGGTAGGCAGATCTCTGAGTTCGAAGCCAGCTTCGTCTACAGAATGAGTTCCAGGACAGCCAGGGCTACACAGAGAAACCCAGTGTGGAAAAAAAAACAATAAAAAAACAAAAACAAAAACAAAAAACCAAACAACCAAACAAAAATCTTCAGGAAGATGGTTGCAGGAGAAGTCAGTGCCAAAGCTCTTGCTTAGTTAGCATTCCAGAAGTCCTGGATTCCATTCCTGTCTCCACATACACACAGAATATCAAACTTATGGGCTAGGACCAGACATGATGGCACTTGACTGGAATCTCAGCACTGGAAAGTCAAAGGCAAGTGGATTTTGAGTACTAGACCAGAGGGAATTCAAAGCTAGCACTGGGCACCTTAAACTCTGTCTCAAAAATAAATACAAGGAAGGGCTGGGGATGTAGCTCACGGATAAAGCACTGGCCTAGAATCCCCAATGAAAGCGGGGGCGTGGCTAAGATATACAGTACCTGCCAGAAACCCTCCAGTAAGGAAAAGCTTTATCTTTCCTACCAAGAACCAGCTTGCCAACAGCTAGGGCCAAAGGTCAGTCACCCTTTGAGGTTCTGCTCATGAGAGGCCAGGCGGGTCTCTTGGAGCTGATTCCAATAGCCCAAAGCAGGTGTTTACCTGGGACATTCTTGTTGTGGGTCTATCTGGTGGCATGTCAGTTGGAGGTTCCTTCTGTCTACCCCCTGAGGGCGCACACAGGCTGCTCAGGTGCCTCACGTGGGGACTTGTGACCTGAACAAATCCTTGTGCCTTTCCCCCCTTAAGTAGGGACTCATGTAACCTGAGCCATCCTCCAACTTGTCATGTAGCCAAAGCTGGCCTTGAACTCATGATCTTTCATCCTCTCCTACCGAGATTCCAGGCATATGTCACCACACCTGTTTCATGCTGTGTTTGGGGATTGAATTGAGGGCTCTATTCGTAAACTGAACATCTGCCAACCGAGCTGCACCCCCAGCTCCCGCTTTTTTAACATTTTTATTTTCTACGTTTAATTATATGCACATGTGTAGATACATGCACATGTATGTGAAAGTACCCCTAAAGTCAAGAAGAGAACATCAGATCCCCCGGAGCTGAAGTTACAGGCAGTTGTGAGCTACCCAGTGTGGGTGCTGGGAACTGAACTCATGTCCTCTCCAAGAGCGGTATACATTCTTTTATTTTTCGAGACAGAGTTTCACTGTATACTCTTGGCTGGCATAGAACATGTTATGTAGACCACCAGGCTGTCCTCAATCTCCAGTGTGCTGCCCCTCACTTGCTGAGATTAAAGGCATGCGCCACCACGCCCGGCTGAAATGTATGCTCTTAACCACTGAGCCACCTCCGCAGTGCTCATCCTTTCTAAGACATCGAAGGGTTTACAGACAGAGAACTATGGCTGAAGTGCAAACTTTTATCTGTGGTATTAATTTCCTTCTTTTTGAGACAGGATTGCACTATGTAGCCCTGTGTGGCCTGGAACTCTCTATGTAGATCAAGGTGGACTTTAATACAGATCTGCCTGTTTCAGGATCTCAAGTGCTACCAATTAAAGGCAGGGGCTACCATGTCCAGCTATTTAATTTTTCTGTTGGTGGAAATGGAACCAAGGGCCTCAGTAATACTAAGCAGGTCTCTAGCACTGAGCCACGCCCCCAGCCCCTCCCTGGGGGATTCTAGGCAGGGGCTCTACCACTGAGCCACGCCCCCAGCCCCTCACTGGGGGATTCTAGGCAGG